TTTTTTCATCAATCGTTCGTCATGCATTCTCTCGACATGGCCAAACCATCTCAGCATATCTTTCTCAATTTTTGTCACTACATCTTCTTTCAGACCACAACGTTTCCTTATCTCACTATTTCTTATCCTGTCACTCAGTTTAACTCCTATCATACTTCTTAACGCTCTCATCTCAACTGCATTTATTCTGCTTTCGTGTTTCTTCTGCCATACCCAACTTTCACTTCCGTACATGAGTGTCGGAACCAACACCCCCTCATGCACAGCCAAACGAGCCTTGTTAGACACCCTCCGACTGCTCATAAAGGAGTGCAAAGCTCCATTCACCATGTGTCCAGCATTCACTCTTCTTTTGATATCACTCTCACACTTTCCATCTCTTGTAAACTTTGAACCCAGATACACAAACTCTTTCACCTGTTCAATTTGTTGATCTCAAATCACGATATTGCAGTCTGTCACTGCCTCATCTCTTTCAAACACCATCCCTTTCGTCTTCCTTACATTCATCTTCATTCCCTTCCAAACAAAAGCTCCACTCATAGTAGTTACCATCTCCTGCAACTCGTCGGCCGAAGACGCAAGTAATACTTGGTCATCAGAAAACATTTGACGAGTTACTCATTCATTCTCAACCCGCTTTCATTCTCTTTTATATCTGTCACGCAATTGTCCATGAACAGATTAAACAGCTACGGTGACGCTACACATCCCTGTCTAACACCTTTTTCGATATTAAACCATTCAGTGTATGCCCCGTTTATCCTTACACAAGCACTAGAATCCCTATAAAGAGATTGCAATGCTCGTACGAGGATACTGCTCACACCGTTCACGGACAATGCTGACCACAATTCATTCCTCACCACTCTATCATAGGCCTTCTCTAGGTCCACGAACCTTCTTGTTTTTAGCCAAACACTTTTCGGCTATGCACCGCAAGGAAAAGACCTGATACGTACATCCCATACCCTTTCTAAATCCCGCTTGTGCATCCCATACTTTTTCGTCTGTTTCATTCACAACCTTAACACTTTCGCATACAATTTACCGACGACGCTAAGAAGGCTTATACCGTGGTAATTTATGCAGTCCTGACGTGACCCTTTTCCCTTATACAAAGGCACGATTACGGCTTTGCACCAGTGTCCTGGTACTTGCCCACTTCGCCAGCACAAATTGAAAAGGCGGTACAGCTGACTAGCCACTATGCCCTGTCCAGCCCTCATCATCACGATGGTAATCCTGTCATACCCTGCAGCCTTACCTACTCTCGTACTTTTCAACGCTTTCACTATTTTACCATGCTTATCTCACTTTCATCACCTGCACTTCCTCTCTTTCAAACAAACTTTCAAAATACTCTTTCCATCTCTTTAACACACATTCTTCTCCTTTTATAATGCAGCCATCTCGACTCCTGATTGTACTCAGCTCTGAGGTAGAAGTTTTTCTTCTGGCTGTTTTGATGGATTTCCAGAAAAACTTAATGTTTGACTGGAAATCTTCAGTGAGCCTCCTATCGAAATCATCCTTTCTTTCTTCTTTTGTCAAATAAAATTGTATGAGTCGGTAGAATGACTGTAATGGTTTTCCAATATTAATAAAACTGGTTTCTCCTCACTCGGCTTAGCGGTTTTCACGAAGTGTAACCATGTCGTGAATAACTCTTCATTCGTCCAACCATTCTTAGAATTTTCATATGCCGCACCTAATGGTCCATCCTATTCAAGTTGTGGAGAATGTCTTTTGCGTGGGTAGACAAACATAGGAGGAATAAAGGTTCCAACAGCACGCATGCAATAAATGATGGTAATCGTTTTCCCTTTTTCCCAAGAAGTCAAAAAAACAAGCTCTATTTAGACCTTTGGTAGCCAGGATATTGACCTTTTGTAGCCAGGATATTTTCGGTTTCCTGGAAGGTGATAATACCTCCTTTTTCAATGTTGTAAATATCTTGGGTGAGAACGATGTTTTGGTCATGATCTTCCAAGTTATCAAGAAATTTAGTCACTTCGTTTTTATTAAATCCTTTAATTCTCTGTATACTTATAGCTTCAGTTTTTCGAATGCTTATCCGTAGATTTCTCTTAAGAAATTCTTCGATCTGGTCCCTGTCAGCCATTAGTATCTCTGTTAAAATTATGAGACAGCTTTATTTTATTTTCAGCACATTGAAATGTTATTTTTCTTAGTTGGTTTATCGTCATACCATGAAACATATTATTTAATAGTAAAACACGCTCTGTAAGTATATTTTCTTGCTCTTCGCATGCCTTCCTAATTTTGAAGGTTTAAATTCATCTTTCTTTATCATTCTTTGTAATGTGCTGAAAGAAATACCAGTTTCCTCGGCAACTTTGCGTTTTGACACGTCTTGTAATTAGACACAACACAACTTGCAGGCAGCTGTACGCATTAGAGTAAGTGCCTGCAAGTCACCTGCAGTCCAACTCGCTTTATAGGTCTTCCTGCTCCAGTTCCTTGGCATCTGAAATCAACAAAAATGTTTTATCATAATGAAAGACCTTTTATTCCCACTACTACACTTTAAAATTATTTTATACGTAAAAGTAAGAAATATAGATATTCACGTTTTCGATCGAAATTTACGGCCCCTCCTGTGTGACATGTGTGTCACTCCTGGTGAAGATGTGAAGCAAGCGTGACAGGCGGTGGCGGGAGGGGTGCGGTACACCCCATGCCACAGAGCCGTATTCTGTAAAGCTTTAAGCCGCCACCACATGCTTGGTGTTTGTGTCAAACACCCACTTCGATCACCCAACACAAACATGAAGAAGAAAAGAGCTTACAGCTTTTTAAAAGGCTAGCAACGCACCTGCAATTCCCTTGGTGTTGCAGTTTTTCATGGGCGGCGGTAGTCACTTACCATCATGTGACCTTATGCTCGTTTGCCCCCTCTCCTATAAAAAAAAAACGGAATCCACATGTTCGGCGAAACGAACGTGCTAGTATATTCCGAATGGGCAAACATGGCGGACCACGAGCTTGTGGCAGCGATTACTTTCGGGTTGACCTATCCTTAGAGTAATATGTAATGCCATCAAAAACATAACTTGTAAAAAAAAAAAACAAGTCTCGCAACTCAGTTCTTTTACCGTAAAAAGTTGTGAGATCCATGTAATACCAAGTCGGTTAATTTATTCAGTCCCTATTTAAGGGTCCTTCTCTCTTAAGTTATTACGTCTTTAGCTAACCTAACAACATCTTATAGTGACCACATCAATACTAATAAAAATCTTTTATATTTTAAATAAATAGATTGACTTGGCCATCGCATGAAATCACAATGTATTTCTCTAGTAATAATTTATATTTAAGTAGCAATTTATTTATTTAAAACATAAAAGATTATTAATATTGATATGGTCACTATGAGATGTTGTTAGGTTAGCTAATTGCGTAATAAATTAAGACAGAAGGACCCTTAAGTAAGGACTGAATCAATTAACCGACTTGTTATTACATGGATCTCACAACTTTTACGGTAGAAGAACTGAGTTGCGAGATTTGGTTTTTTTTACAAGTTATGTTTTTGATGGCATCTCATTTCTTTTTGTAGATAATTATATCTAGGTACCTATCTACACCTATTATTCCATTATATTATACATATATAGGTACACTGATTCATTCACTGCAAATGTAACTTTGTAATCCTATATATTTATATGGGATAACAAAAAATTGCTGAAATTGCTAAATATTTTAGTTTTTCATTAATTTATATACAAAACAATAATTGTATTCTAAATTTAAAGCTTCTATGTCTGCTAGAAGTGCCTTAGAGTTTTGATGATCGGTCCGTCAGTGAGTGACAAAATTAAGATACTTTGACTAGTTATAATTCTTAAACTACTGGTTCAAATATAATGAAATTTAAAATATACCGAGGTTATACAGTGCCTACTTGGTTACTGAAAATTCAGGCTTCTATTTTTATCCGCAACGACGTTATAGGGTTTCGAAAATTGACTAAACTGCTTCGAGAAAAGGATGGTACGGCCGTGCCGCTTTTTTGCTCGACTTGGCGGGGGCACTGTCGTGCCCCCAGATCTATTTTTGAACGCATGCATTTTTACAACATAAAATGACAAATCTGGTGTACAGGCAATATCTAGCATGTTTGTTGCACGATAGCTTTGATACGTACGTCTGGCCTATTTTTTATATTCTATTTTTCCATTAGCACGACATTAAAAGTAGTGGCCTCCCCACTACTTTTAATGTAGTGGGGAGGCTCGTTGCTGGATACAAAATACATCCAGCGTATCCAGCAAGCATTTAATAATAATTATTGACATACATCAAGCCTACTGACATACTCATTGTTTTGCATTGTGCGTTGTGCATGACCTTGACGGGACGTACAGCAAGATGGACTGTGAATAATACATTTATGACACAGACATTGTTGAAATTGCGTTAGTGTTAAATTAATCTGAACATGTTTATAAACCTTTCTTTTTAACCAACTCCAAAATAGGAGGAGGTTCTAAATTCGACTAGTTTTTACGTGTGTTACATTAAAACTTTTTTCTAGGTGAACCGATTTTGATGATTTTTTTTATTTGAAAGCTGGTGCTTTTCACGTGGTTCCATATAAATTTGACCAAGATCTGACTAGTAATGTTCCAGTTTTCTTCACTAATGCGTATTTAATTGACTTCGACTACGTTGATGATGAAACAAAACAAAAATAATTAAAATTAGAGCCCCTTCTTCAGAAGCTATTAAATATTATTTAAATTATTTTATTATTTGGAGTGGAGTAAGCTAAAAAATTAAGACAAAATATGTTATCACATTCAACATAGAGGCTGTGATAGAATGTTGCCTTATCAATAATTGGTTTATTGACTTTCTGACTTAATATGAAACTGCTGGTGCAGTTTGATTACTAGAATTATTGCAACTAGAAATGTTTTGTTTGTAAATTTCTCATTAAACTACAACATGCACATATCTGTTTCTTGCAGTGGCATGGCACCGACCCCAGTCTGCTATCTCCCTCCAAGAGGAGGAGCTGATGCAGAACAGTGCTCGAGCTGCGCCCAACGCCACTGACCCAATTGAAAAACTACGTCTGCTTTGCCTGTCTAGGGGCGCCACAGGAATATTAGCCCTAGGAAGGTTTGTGTTGATTAATAAATATAATGTTTTAATTAAAAAGGAACTAGTAAAGTGGGTAGTGCTAGGGTTACCTGGATATTGGTGGATATTGGTGGATATCCGATTCGTTGCGGCACCGATTTTCGACAACTTTCAGCTGTGGCGTCGAACAAATATTTCATGACACGCGTGGAGTATTGTTTGTATGATAAGTAATGATAATTGTTTTTAGTGGGTAGCTACGTGTTTTCTTTGAAATTTAGAGTAAGTAACTTTTTATGCAGAGATTACAAACCTTTTGTACTATTTTTTGTTTTATAAAAAATCATTTATATAAGTAGGTACAGCTAAATCACCCTGGAAACCTTGGTTTTTATTAAATTAAATTTTCACCTAACAATAACATTTGTAAATATCAAACAATCAAGAACCCTAATTTGGAAAAAATAAGGTTTATATTCATTGATATTTACAAATGTTAAATATTATTTAAAGTCATACAAATCTAAAAGTAAAGTCGATCTGAAAACGTCTAATTAATAAGAATAGCAAAACAAGTGTTTTCAAAAGGAAAAAAACGCCGGTGCTATACGTATAGACGCCTAGCGCCGGATACGGCGGCGGATTGACAAAAGACTATTAGCGAACTTTTTTTATGCATGAACGGTTTCGAGCTGTATAAGCAAAAATAAACCTTATACCATATCACAAGAGCACATGGCACTTCGTAGGTCTATTCGGCCATATGATAGTAATAAGACGGCAGTTCAACCACTTTAAGCAAAATGAAACAATAAGACGAACGCATTGTTTTTTTTTTTTTTGTAACAGGAGACTTATTTTCCAGAAATTTATTTACAACTTAAGTTTGTGAGTGATCGCAATGAGTGGTATTACTTGTTACTTATTAGACTATTTTTCCACAATATGATTTAAACCTACAAAGTAAAAAGAGTACAAGTTAAAAAAAAGGTTGTCAATCCTTAAAAATTTAAAATTTTCAAAATGTCCAGAACCGAAGCTGTAGGCATGAACTACTTGCAAAATAATAAATATTTTGTTCTGGATAAATCTTCCAAAAACAAAATTTGAGCGAGTTATAACGATTTAAAAAAAAGACGACTCGCGTGTCATACGCCACATACAAAAATAATCGATGGCTCGCCTGGCGTGCCATCCGCACTGAACCGGATATAATATGTGTGGACACATGAACAAAATGCAATACGTGCCTCTGCATTTACAACTATACTTCATCACTAAAATTTTAATATCAACGAGGGCGATCCACGACCTTTTCTGCCACCAGGGCGGCGCCACTTAAAAGTGAGGTATAATATTTGACAGATTTCATAGCGGGGAAGTTAATTTGTTCGGAAAATGTAAAAGTTAATGTTTCTTTCTGTATTATTAGCTATATTTTATATTAAGAAATCTAAAAATAATTAAACCAAACCACAAATATTCATAAAAGTAGAAACATTTAAAAAAAGGTTAAAATGTGCAAAAAATTAAAGAGCAAACCACTGAGGCACTGTTTTGTGTGTTAATTGCATACTCTAGAAACTGATAGATAAACTTATATAAAAAAACTGACTTCTCAATTAAATGACTTTGTGTAACAAAAAACTTTACCTCGGTGTCAACTAGCGACATCTGGTGAGCAGAAAATTATTAGCCCTCATTGTTACAAGTGGTGAAATCGTAAATTTTGTACAACCGAGTTCAATATAAATTATTAAGAATAACTCGAAAACTATCGTCAGACTTTGATCAAATTTATATGGGACCACTTGGGAAGTATACCCTTTGAAACAAAAAAATATTTTCCAAATCGGTTCAGGCGTCTTCGAGTAATCGGTGAACATACATAAAAGAAAAAGATTCCGACCAATTGAGAACCTCCTCGGTTTTGAAGTCGGTTGAAAATAAATATTATGCTTGTCTGTGGTTATCCCTTGTTTTTTTTTTTCTTCGGTATATTAACTTTATATTTTGGTTTTGCTACTAATTAATATCTTCATTTTTAGAGAAACTACCCATATTAAAACATCATGAAATCTACTGATTTATCTGTGATATCATATATTATGTTGTGATATATATAACTAATAGCTTTTCTGTATTATTTTTTACTTTTAGTGCCACAGTCTAATATTGGGAATAGACTGCTAGCTGGTTCGGACATTTTCAATATGGCATTTCAAGACTTGGCATTTCATTGTCTTTTCTGGCATCACCCTTAAATTAATTTTACCAACAGCACACACAGATAATGTAACAAAACAGTCGTTAATGCATTTACGTATTTGGTTGTTTAGACTATTCAGAAGGATGGACAATAATGGAAACAAAAAGGTCAGTAAGGAAGAGTTTGTTCAAGGCCTGATGGAAACTGGATTGGAAATGAGCACCAAGGTTTGTGTTTATAACTAAGAATGTATCTATAATATGTAATTCTTCTGTCCGTATGTATATAACCGAACACCTCTGACTGATTTTGATGAAATTTTGTGTAGGTGATTAAGTTGATTCGAGAATGATGTGTATTCACAATTAGATCTGGTAGGTGGCTCTGTTGTTGATATCCTAATCAACAACAGCGCGCTGTAATCATCCGTGTGAAGCCGGGGCGGATCGCTAGTTTTCATTACATTATTGCAATAGCTAAGTAAAATTTCATTAACCATGTCATAAGAGCTTAAGATTTTTTTATAACAACAGAATGATAAAAACAACAGTACATTTAATGATAAGTGACCATTGCAAGATATAGACACTTGCAAACAACTCCTAGCAAATATGGCAATACAGGTGGTAATTATAACAAGCCTTTTGGTAGAATAGGGAAAGAAATCTTCCAGTCGAAAAACTCTATTCTCTTTTATATATTTAATGCAGCAACATTGGATAGATTTTTTATGACATAATGAATGAAGGGGTAAGTTATTTTAATTTGTTGCACTTTCTAGGAAGCTGAAGAAACATTTGGTAGATTCGACACAGACAAAAGTGGAAACATTAGTCTGGATGAGCTTATCAAACAAATCCGTGTAAGTATTTTACAAGAATCTTTTATTTTGTTAATGTCACATTTAAAATTTATGTGTATGAAACATATGCATACACATTAAAAGTAGTATGTAACTAAAGTAAGGGTGACAGTGAACAGACCTACACAGATCACCAAACAACAAACAAACACAGTGATGGTAAGTCAATGATGTGGCCTATAGACACATTCAATCAAATGAATGAATCGTCAATTAATCAAGATGAAGATGTGTATAGTGTTGTCACTCCAGAAGGCATATCACTGTTATAACTAAAATTAAATTTAAAGAAAAAATTAAAACCCACAAAACAAAAAGAGCTGCTGCTGATCTTCAAACTCTGAACAGATTTTCTCGAAACATAGCTAAGAACACTTGATTAAGGCACCTTTGAAACAACAAAAAAACTTAATCGAAATCGGTTCATCATTCAGGAGCTATGATGCCACGGATAGATTGCACAGATACACACTACAAACATAACACTCCTCTGTTTTCGTCGGGGGTTAAAAATAGGGTACCTCTAACAATTAGGAAAGGATTCCAGTTTTAATCACTCGCCAATCTACACTATACTAAACACAGCAGTATAGTACTGCTATATGTGCCGCACAATACTAGTGTGTTTATGCTCCATTTGAGCCAACCCATTCGTGCTACAGCCTTAATACCCTACAATACCGGCCCTTTTTACTGGAAATGAGGCATTCATCTTAGTCCTCACGGGTGACAACGCATCTGCATTTTGATTTGTAATAGAGGATAGATGTAGATGTCTATGGGCCGCGGCAACCACTACCATCAGGTGGACTGTGTGCTCGTTTGTCACCCTTATCCTATAAAAAAAAACATAGCTCTCTACATATAAAGTTAAATGGTATCTCAATTTTATTTTTGGTTTGTTTTCAGCCACCAATGTCAGAATCACGGCGCGATATTGTGAAGAAAGTTTTCAAGAAGTTTGACAAAACCGGAGACGGTGTCATCACTATTGATGATATTCGCTCCGTTTACTCTGTGAACTCTCATCCACTGTAAGAACTTATGTTGATTTATTTTTTATGATTAATATATAACAAAACAAAAAACAGTAAACATGACAGTTTCTGGTTGCAAGACACTATCATGTTCTCTTTAGACATTGTTAAATAAGAACTCATACTTGCGGGTGTCGTAACAGGCGACAGAGGGAACCACATCAAGAAATGGGTAGGAGCATCTTCCTAATAATAACTAGAAAATAAAAAACTGCGGTTGGCAACCTGCCCGCCCAGAGTGGCAACCATGGTAACTATCCCACTTATGAGGCAATCTTTGGGGAGGCCTATGTTCTGCAGTGGACTTTGATAAGTTATAATGATGATGATGATTTAGCTCATACAAACATGATGATAATGATATAGCTCATACAAACATGTGTAAAAACAAACATCAGGACACACATTTATTACTCTAAAAATAAACTTCAGTTCACGGTTAACTCTCTATATTTCATGTTAAAATAAACAGTTTACACTTATTCTCTTTTGTTTTTCAACAATGAATTAATCAACTTTATAAACTTTCTATTTGCACTAGTTCATTCCGACACGACTATTACAGCACAAATTCTATTATATTCTGCTTCGGACACGCCCGTCATTCCGTTTTATAGTCCCCCACTGCCAGGTGTCTTAATTTTAGTAGTTTCAATACTTCTAAGTTACATATATTGACATTTCAATTGTAGTGGAATATATTAAATACTTACAATATTTAATTACAGTGTAGCATTATTTATATTAATAATTGGATTTATTATGATTATTAACATCATTTATTACACATGATGATAATGATATAGCTCATACAAACATGATGATAATGATATAGCTCATACAAACATGATGATGATGATGATATAGCTCTATCTAATAAACAGTGTGCTGTCGTTCCCACTTCAAATGTGCATCCCATGATATATCAATTAGACGGCAACTATATCGGCTAGATGATCAGTGGATATGCCGCAGTAAGATAGTTAAGGCCGTGATATAGTTATATGCTGTAATATAGTTATATGCCGTAATATAGTTTTATGAAAGCGATTCATAATTATTTTTCTAGACTAATCTAGTGAAATAATTATAATTGTAATTTGTTTGTAGTTTGTTAGTCAAAACTGCTTTTGACTCGTACTTACTGAATTTTTGAAAGTAAAAAGTTAAATTCTTTCAATATTATATTTTATATCGATATAATGTAAGCGGCTTTAGTGTGGCCCAAGGGTCACCCCAGCCGCATCTTAACCTTCTGTCTAAAAAGGAACATGAACAAAAACACAACAGGAACGTCAATGTCGCGAAATTTGTTCCTCCTGTACATTAAGTTTACAATTATAATTATTTCACTAGATTAGTCTTATGAACCGGTATATAGCTTATCCGTGATATAGTTTATATCCCTAGGGATATAAACTATATCACGGATTTAACTATCTTACTGCGACAGACATATATTATCCACTGATCATCTAACAGATATAGTCGAGTCTTAGTTTTAAAGAAAAAAAAGGCACTCAATGATAGTCAGTTAGTTTTGTTTGTGTGTAAATTATATAGTACCTGCAGGGCATTTGGAACTTGACAGAAATAGATTATAAAATTGGAAATCAAAAAATACTACCAATTTAACATAATACGTGGACCATGGGCCACTTAGAAAGGTTAAAAAGTTCTATGGTGAAAGATTTCTAAAGAAGAAATCTTATCAACAGACTCCATTAACAACTGTTTATTTATTTTTTAGTCAATTATTTACTAGTATTATTTTACTTTTATGATAACCTGTCTATTAAAAATTATGTCATTCATATTACATTTGCTTTACTGATTATTTTTATTGACTTCTCTTTACAAAAGGTTTGTCAGAACGCGAAAATCATTGCAACTATATTGTAGTACTAACACATCTGAACTGAATTTAAAACAAAGGGTATTTTGATAATAATGCTATAATTTTTTATCTGGATAATATAAAATATTGTACTATTTTTAAAGGTAGTAAATCTATTTTCCAGGTACATGAGTGGAGAGGAAACAGCCGAAAAGGTCATGAACAGGTTCTTGGCTAACTTCGAAGTTGATGGAACTGCTGACGGAAGGGTAAATAATAAATATACTAATATTTAATGTGGTATAATCTACTAATTTTCAATAAGTGGTAGAGCCACGCAGCAGCTTATATAACGATGGCAGGACAAATGGGTCGGCACGACCTTCGAAGGACCTTGGCTCTCACAGAATATTAGTATAAAATAGCAGCTTAGTGTTGCTGTGCTTGCTATGGCGAGCTTGGAGAACCGAAGTCCCTTTTTACAGGAAACTAAGCATTCTAACTTAGTCTTCAGGAGTGACAACGCATTTACATTTTCATTCTTAATAGAGAATAGAATTTTCTATGGGTCACAGCATTAACTTACCGTCAGGCATGATCATTGAGTTACATGTACTAAGTACTAGAGGAGCCATTCTAAACCAAAAATGTGCACTATATGTCTTCGCGCATGCGCGGGAGATAGTAAAGTCGCGCATGCGCATGATATAAGCGCATTACGCCTGCGCGACCAGTTTTTAATTTAAACTTTAATTTTAAATCTTGTATTATTAGCGCCGCTCCACACTGCATGTATATTGAAACCACAGACTTAATTAGTAGATTGAAACCACTAAATGACACACTGTACGGATTGCAGTACAGTTCAGTTGAACATAGTGTATGTTCGGAATGCGAAATCTAGTACGTAGTACATATATATCGATGGGCATGATCATTTGTGTTCAATAATACTGCATATTATACTTAGTTAAAGAAACAATTCGATTATTTGTCAGACAATCCCATTTAGACGTATAGTTTACAAGTATAGTACGTGAGGGTAATATGGTCATCCGGTTAATATGGTCACTTTCTTTAAACTCAAAAACTACATCGTCGTTAGCATAGGTGGCTCTGTGATACGATACCTCTTTATCACTTAGTCAAATAATAAAGGGTAAGGTTGAGAACATAGTAAAAATTTTAGTCGATTTTAGTATTGTGTAGTGTACTTAGTTTTTTATAACACGATTATTCGAAGTGTTCCTATTTATTGGCAAAGCTTGTTTGCTACTTTTTTATTAATATATTAGTTATAGTATACGACTTTGTGTTTTTGTCACTGTCCTTCATGTTTTGGTTTTATAGGGCGACAAAGCTTAAGGTGACCGACCATATTACCCTCGCCTACCTTAGTGTGGAATGACGCATCAGAATTACAATATCTTGTATTTATTTTAAACCGTTTTTGGGATGCTTGCAAATTTATATCTATACAAATAAATAATATTGAAGTATCCGTTTGTAATGTCAAAATAACAGCTTTTTACTAAATGCATATGAAATTATATACGGTTCTTATAACAAAAACACAATTCTTAAATTTTTTGTCTGCCTGTCTGTCTGTTTATTCCGGCTAATCTCTGAAACGGCTGGACCGATTTCGTCGAGACTTTCGCTGGTAGATAGCTAATATTATAAGGAGTAACTTAGGCTACTTTTATTTTAGAAAAGGATTTAGGGATCCGCGCAAAAAAAATTAAAACGAAATTACACGCGGGCGAAGTCGCGGGGTACAGCTAGTTTTAAATATAAATATTTAAATGTGGCAAAAATTGTATTGCTAACCTGCATATGTAGAAAATGAAATATGTATATATAATATTATTTATTTACATAGCATACAATAAATATTATTTGGGTTCTATGCATGGTGAGAATTTACCGTTCTTTTTTTAAGAGACTGTGTTCACAACTAGTCATTGCCGTTGGAGACGAGAGGGATAGTTCTTTTCTCGTCCAAAAGCTAAGTATAGCCATTCAGTGAGAAATAGCAGCCATCATTCTCGACAATGCGCCATAGAGAATAGGACTGTATATTAATTTTAGTTTTATATTTTTTATTATTATCAATGGCTATGCGCTCACTGTGAATTTCACAGCAACACAGGTTTGATTCCCGCTGGCATTGAATTTCATTTTTAAGCGCTGGTTTAGCACGTAACCCGCGGTGAAAGAAAACATCGTGAGAAATCCTGCATGTCTGAGAAACTGTAAAAAATATTATCGAAGACATGTGAAGTCCGTCAACACGCATTAGGGGCAGCGCGGCGAATATTTACTTACCTTAAAAACCTTCTTAGAGATGAATAAAGGCTTGTGCGCAGCAGTGAGACTTAATAGGCTGTAACTTTACTAAACAATATTTTTTTTTTATTTCAGGTAACACTTGAGGAGTTTATGAACTTCTATAGTGGCATCAGTGTCTCTATTGACAACGACTGTTACTTCGACCTGATGATGCGTCAAGCTTACAAAATGTAATTCACTATATAACGTACATAATGTGTATGTACTCTAACTGTGTAACTGCTTACTCACACACTCGCACTACCTTCCACACGAGGAGTAAACATCACTGTTGTTTATTGCTTTTTATTAGATATGGATTTTTACGCAAACGTTTACACGTCGTTTTTAGAATACGATTTCAGAAGCAGCCTGCCATAAAGTTTCGATCGATATAGTCCATACTTTTAGTTTTATTAGTAAACGACAAATCCAAACGCGCGCTGTTTAACAATATATAGAACATGGTATCTTTTTATTTTCTTAATATTATTATGAGTGGTTAACGGGAATATTAGTAATTTTGGTGGCATTACTAGTATTTAAAAAAATGCTAAACAAAATAGTTTCATAGTCAACATTCCGGTCGTAAAAATTTAAGTACAAGTGACAATGGTACTTATAATTACACCGTTATTTTCAATTCCATTAAGTTTTGATAAACTAGTAGATTGTTAGTAATCGACTGATAAACATAAAATTTGTTTTAAGAATATTATTAAGAATTTCTTTATACAGGGCTATTTTGCAATATACGGCCAAATTTGCAGAAGAGGTTCAGAATAGGTAATATAGTATAAATAAAAATAAATAACATACGGGAGTCAGAAGGCATATCATTGTTAAGATAACGGTCACTAAATCCTGGGAATAACACTACCTACGCCGATCACTACTTATTACCTATAGGCAGATATACTATATAATAATAATTAATATTTTAACTACGTAAATACGGGTGACATAAATAAGAATAACAATACTAAATATTTGGTAGATTAGTACCTACCTAATTACTTATTACCTATATATAGATATACTATATTATAATAATGAAGATTCTAAGTAAATACGGGTGACATAAATAAGAATAACAATAGTAAACATTTGATAGGTAAGTACCTACCTTATTGCTTATTACCTATAGGTAAACGTGCATTTCTTTACCTTCGTTTGTCCTTTGAAAGTGTGAAATACGTGTGGTTCGGGTCATTGTTATTATTTAAGCAGCCAAATGCCATACGACATGCTTTTGTCTTCATTTTAGTTAATACTTATATCTTAAGCGACGAACGGACGACGCGTGTATTGCGTGCGAGCCGGCCGACGCGCGGTAGCCCTCTGAAATGGCCGTCAAGACGAGCCCGCCGTATACTTGTAGTTGTAGCTTTATACCTAAACTACGGAGTGCGCATGGTTTGGTCATCTGTAAACATTGCCAGATTATCACAATTAAAGCGTGATTAGGCGCATGTCGGCCGTGCACGTACTCCACGCCTGGAAAGCACAAGCTTGTGTCACATTCTAATGTTCCTAAGCATTTAAATTATACCAAATTGCGCATTTTGAATAAAAGCATTTAAGTATAATAACATTCCGTAAGATATATTTGCGTAGGTTCGTTTTTATTCAGTTTAGGTATAATTTATACAATGTATTTTAATTTTGTTATACATTCAAAAAATGTGTTCAAGAAATAAGTATTTGTAGTTTTTTTTTTTTCAATGTTCCTTCATCCATAAAACCGCGAATTTAATCTAGTGTAGTAAAATCTCTTCTTTTTTGGAAATGAGGAAGCTAATCTCATTGGTTTGTGCATACCAAACGATTGCGGGGTTTGAATTTCGTGGGTTTATGTACGTTTGTATTATCAGCTGTTGTTTGGCACCATTTAGTTCGTCTTGCCGCATAATCCCCGACAAAGGGACGAGATAACAGACGGGTGTTGTATGTTTGTAGGGTGTATTTGTGTGTCTATGTGGCATCATAGCTCATGAACGGATGAACCGATTTAGATTAAGTTTTTTTTTTGTTTGAAAGGTGCCTTAATCGAGAGTGTCCTTCTTAGTTCATCAGCTCCTTTTTGTTTCTGAGGTTTTGAATTTTTTTAATTTTAGTTACGTGGAATCGGTTCGTCTAGTTTGGGTGATCGATACGAAACTATTTCTGACTGAAATCGAATTTTAGATACGTTTTGATATATCGGACGCACGTATTTATGCTGATGTGCACTTAAAGTCAATGATTATTCTTAATATAAAGAAAATATTAAATGATGCTTTTTTTTTTGCAAATGTTAGATGACTATATAGATATAGATGATATATGTAACAAATATTGCGTGCTAATATAATGATTATATGTCAATAAAATATTTAACAAAAATGTCGTACTTTTATTGTTGAATATTGTCATAAAAATATCACAAGATATACAACACCATGTAATTACCGTCAGGTGGGCTGCGTGCTTGTTTGTGACCCTTATTCTATGATAGTGCGGAGGTAGCACGTGCTGTGCGGTGTATGCAATCATCGTGAATAAACTTTTTTTTTACATGGGGAAATGCCTACGCATACCCGCCTCGCGGGACTAGGACGGGTTATGTCGGACTCGCACCGACTAAAACCCCATGGTGTTCCACCCTCGTCGCATATTGGCAGGGCCACGGGAACGCTTTCGCACACATCCACGCCCCCACCTGTGCTGGCCGCCCCGTGGCGGCCTCTCCTCGGGAGAGGACTACTCCTCCCCCATCTCCTTCTCAGATATGGCGCACCAGAACACATGGAGCGCCCTCCTCCTCGGCCTCGAATTTTACATGCACAACGTACGCCCACCTGTCCGATGCGCGAAGGCCATGGGGCCAGGAAAAACTAGCACTCAGAAGCACCAGCCTTCTTGACCCCAGCGGTGGATCTGGTCTATGGCTCCGCCGCCAACCAAGATTCGGCTGCGGAGGGTAGGGAGAGCGGCGCCTCGCAATACCGACACTGCTCTCCCCCCGCAGCCCCACCACCACCGCATCAATTGACGGTGCGGCCCCGTCTGAGTCGCGGAGGATAGGGCGAGTGGTACATCGCCATACCAACACTCCTCTTCCTCTGCGACTCCACCACGGCTGGAGCGGTAGGGGTTGGGAGGACACCCCTCTCGCAGCAGCCCACCGACACATCCGAAGTGGGCTCGCCAAGCCCACTCGGAGTGGCCACCTCGGGCCGGCCCTACACCCCGGGCTAGCCAAGGGGTTCCTCTTTGTTCACCGCGGGTGACAGCGATGGGACGTAATTTGACTTTTTAAATATTTATATATCTTAAAAAAGTTCAATATCCTTAAAAAAACCTCAAATATGTATTTATCTGTTTTAACGTTACATAATGTAAGAAATAAGGTATTTCTTATATTATGTACACAAGTAAATTATTATGTTTATCAACAAAATCTATATCTAGAAAACATCTTGGTGTCAGTGCCCGGAGTAGGGTGAGGTCTAATAAGACCAGTATCACCGCGACTAGTAAGATCTATGGTGATCGCTGCTATGAGCTATGACTATAGGTAACTGCTAACACCTATATCTTCAATTAATGAGAGCCAATAATGTTACGCTCGCCAGATGCCGCGAGTTGGGACAATATGATTGTAACGCAGATTGTCACTCAGCGTCATCATCATTGAATAGTTGCGATGTTTTTCAATTTATGGTGTATGTTTATAAACAAAACTGCCTAAATGTTTTTCTTTAATTTATTGCACATTTCTTTTTCTCCTACTTTTAGGAATATCTGTAATTTGGTTTATCCATAGCTAATGTAATTAATATTAAATATAACTAATATTTCTTATAGAAACATTAATCTTTACACTTTACAAACCGTCGGGTATAATATGTATTCTGTGTTTCTAACAAACAAATTAACTCAATTTCACCATCGCACATCGCGACAAAACTTGCGTTACCATCCATACCATCTGGATGATTGGCGGTCCAGCACTGTGCGATTTAGAAGAAGTTTTCTCCCTCGCACAACTTCCTTGTGGAATCAATTACCACCAGCGAATTTTCCGGACCGATACGACTTAGGAACCTTCAAGAAAAGAGCTTACACCTTTCTAAAAGGCCGGCAACGCATCTGCAATTCCCCTGGTGTTGCAGTTGCTCATGGGCGGCGGTAGTCACTTACCATCAAGTGAGCCGCATGCTCGTTTGCCCCCTCTTCTATAAAAAAAAAGAACTTAACCACAGACTAACTAGTAGATTCTCTTAACCCACTATGAAATCTATCAAATATTTCCTATATACTATCAAAAAGAATATAATCACGTGTGTCCTATATACATAAAAATTAAGGAGTGTTAGGCATAGAAGTGCATTAGGAGCCGCTCCAGGCGATGTTCATGCCTTTGTAGGCTACTTAACTTGCTTACTACTTAAACTGCAGTTGTCTTTTGGTTGACCTTATTACACCAAACTTTGGAATCGTTGATTATAATCGGCCTCACTATGTCGCTTTACACCCACAAGATTATCCTGTGATGCAAGCCCTAGTTGTTCTCAACCATACGACTGCGCGTACTTACGAGTAGTGCAATTTTACCCTTGCGACATCAGTTGCTAAGGTTGTAGTTCCACGTTAGTTTTTTGTCGATTGTTTCGCCCAATTACCTAACTTCAGTGGAGATGATACTTTTTTTTACTGCATAAGGGTGACAAGCGAGCACACAGTCCACCTGATGGTAAGTGGTTGCTCATACACATCTACATCTGTATGTATGTGTGTCAAAATGCAGATGCGTTGTCACCCATGAGGACTAAGATGGAATGCCTCGTTTCCAGTAAAAAGGGTCTCCGGTTCTCTACACTCACCAGTCACCATACGAAACACAGCAGCATTAAGCTGCTATTTTACGCTGATATTCTATGAGAACGTGGTCCTACCACGGTCGAGCCGACCCATTCGTGCTACAACCATAATATAGCTAAAACATGGCTCTACCACGTATAAAATCTGTTATTACAACGCAACTTTTCAATGATGACGACATTGTGTGACAATCTGCGTGACAAATAAGTTTATATCGGTCCCGATTGGTGACGTCTGAAGAACGTAAGATTATAAGCCTTGATTCAGTAGGTACCAGGCGTAGGACAGTTGCCTTGAACCACAAAAATTTAATGGATGGTGGCGCCATCCATAACTTGTTTCCAAAAATAATTTGTTTATAGTTGGTCTTATGGCTTCACAGATGTCGCTACTTTGGAAAAATAAAATGAAATTTACTTACAAAATAAAAATAAGTGCACCAAAAAATTATTGGTGATTTTATTGATAAAAAATTATAATTTTAACATAAAAACACGTAATAATTATCGAATCAATCGATAAATATGACAATTATGATACTGGCAACCAGCATTTTATAATAAAATATAAAAATAAAAAATGAAATAATTGTCATATTAAATTGTCATTCCTGTAACATCGCAAATACCCTTTTTATATATTATTATCTCACAAATACAAGTGTACTTATTGAAACTATTTACCTACTTTTAATATTAAAAGTATAAATTATTTTACAAAAAAAAGTAAAAATTGTTTCAGTAAGTATGCGAATTAAAGAACATAATAGTTACATTAATATGATGTACATAATATAGCTATATATAATGAATTAGTTCGGATTCAATTTGTAGGAGACGCTAGTAGTTCAATTTTGTCTGCAATAAAATATCGTCAGAGGGCTCTCTTTTCCTGTATATACTTATTATACTCTTTGGTAGGTACATAGCTTTAATTGATATTCGGTACTTTACTTATAGGACTTATTATTAGTTTGTGTTTTTAACTTTTATTTTATAAAGTAGGGAACACTAACGAATTATTGGTGTGTATTTTTACTGATTTCTGGTGATGTGATCTCATTCTTGTCTCAATATAAATAATACTGAACTGAAATAAGTAAAAGACTTCTTAGTCTGTGGAAGAACCCAAACAAATTCAGGTACACAATACAAATACGAAAAGAGTACTGTTTGGAAAGTACAAAGTACGAATTTCGTTCTCCTGGTTATATTAGATTGTCTATGGCTCTTACTAAAGTCTCTTACAAATATTGTTTTTTACTGTTGTCGTTATGAGTACAAGCAATCTCAAAAAGTTGCATAAAATTTTGCGTACAGAAATAATACTCAATACAATTTGAAGCCGAATTATAAACAGAGCTTAATATGACTTTAACGGAGTCAGCCTTTTAGATGTTTAAGTTCTTAATTTAATCATCGTTACCGTTTTAGCCTAACGTAAAATACATTTAATAAAATATCTATTATATGGTACACTAATACGAATTTCGAACAATCCATGAGCTCGCGAAAGAATATGAGATATTATAATTGAATAAAACACATATCTACTACGATTCTTCCTTGTAAGATATACTTGTTACAAAGTATCATAAATATTAACCAATACGTATTATTATAATACATCTTTTTATTATAATAATACGATACGTAATAACAAAGCAAACCAAATCCATCAAAAGTCGCGTATCACCGTGTAGTACCGAGTGGTAAATATCTGTTATTCAAATTCAATACATACATAGATACGATTTGTAATCGGGTAAGATCGATATTACCCATGTCTAATGGCGTGGTATCTCAGATGGTTAGCGCTGGCTGTAAGTTTCACAGTACACGAGCAACCCGGGTTCAAATCCCGCCGGCACCAATGAAATGTTAATTGCAATTTTAAATGCCGATTTACCACGTGCTCGGCGGTGAAGGGAAACATCGTGAGGAAACGTGCATGTCTGAGAAATAAGAAAAAATATTTTGAAGACATGTGAAGTTCGCAAACACGCATTAGGGCAGCGCGGCGGACACTTACTTGTCCTAAAAACCCTCTAGGAAATGAAAGGAGGCCAACAGTGGGATGTAGGCTGTAAGTTAACTTTAACTGACGTGGGACGGTTTTAGTATTATAACAAAATATAAACATCGAATAAGGTAAAGTAACAGCTGCGCTAGCACTTCTTATTAGTTTGTTGTAACAGCGACCCTGCATTGGCGCTAATGGTTTGGTATATTGCTCTAATGCTGGGGCCATAGTAACGAGAACCGTCAATGCCCAAAAATGCAACAATTATTGCCTTAATTTTAACGCGATAAACTGAGTGGCCACACTTGGGTCGGTCAACGTCATTTAAATTTCAATGCCGTTGAACGGCGTTAAAGTAAACTGACCATTTATTTATTAACTCAAAACGGGACATGGGTTTATTTATACTCCCCAGTTAGCAGGTTAACAATAAGAAAAATATACTTACTTACTTATCTTCACGCACAATCCCTGACGGGGTAGCCAGAGAGA